TTCCGAGTGAAATTTGGTTAAAAGCCTGAATCAGAAATTTTACTAATTACATGACAGTTCATAAAATAGCCCTTAGCGAACAACTTACCTGCTTTCCATACTTTAACAGGATGCGATACAACGAGTCAATTTACTGGAATGGTAAAAAAGGTCCATTTCGAAGATCTGTTTAATATTATTAAAACATTTGCAATAAAAATATATTCGTGGGGGCGGGAAGTGAGGGCAGGAAGTGCGGGCGGGAAGTAGAGGTGTGTAATGTGACACTTCCCAACCTTCAATGACGTTAGTAATGACAACATTACATATATAAATTATTATATTATATTATATTATTATATTAATTACATATTATAAATAAACTAATGTATAGGTGTTCCCTTCTCCCTCCTGAATCGGTAAGGCCTACGGGTCCCAATTCGACACTGCCTTCAACAGACGATTCCTTAAGCTTTTTACCAAACCGAGATTTGGTAAAACTCATAACCAAAAATGGAAATGGCAGCTGCCAAAGCCAGTTTTTGAAGAGGATAGCGAAGAATCAGAAGACGGGGAGAAAATTTAATACGATTTTTAAACAAGATTGTAAGTTATGGTTTTTCTAAAATAAAATATATGAATATCCATGCTCTTTAAAGAGATATAATTAATTAAGTTGGCGAAGGGCTCTTTCAGTGTGAGATATTTTACCATTCTAATTTTACTCCTGGCACATTTATTTTTTTCAATATTTAGTAGGTATTATTACTAATAATAAATTTATTCTAGACCCCTATTTCAGAGATCAGGTATACAAGGTGTCCCAAATTATATAAAACGGAGACAGGTTAAAGATCTCATAATTTTAAGCAAAAAAGTTCATCTTAACAATGGTCCGATTTTCAAAAGTAGCCTAGTTACTAGTGATTCGAAATTGATAGAAATGATACATTTTCAGTTACACGCCACTTGTGATATTTAATATTTTCTTGTTTTTTTCAATTAGTTATCTAACTTTTACATCTCTGGACTTTTGATCGTAATTTGATCAATGTTTACATGTTAATATGAACTTTTTTGTTTACGATTATGAAATCTATAAACTGTTTCAGTTGAATCAGAACTACAATAGTTTATCTAAAAAAAATTAAGATTAGTTGTCCGGTGTGATAATAATATTATGGGCCGGGCTAGTTTCGTAGTGAGATAGAGATTGATATATATATATATATATATATATATATATATATATATATATATATATATATATATATATATATATATATATTGGAATATACAAAGCAACACTGTTAGCCGGGTGTAGATCACTGGCGGCAGCCGTTTTATTTGGTTTACCTTATATAAATTAACATAAATTGATTATCATAAAAAAATATGGTTTATGTTTTGTTATGATCCAAACATATTTTAGAAACATTTAACTTTTTTTGTTTTAAAATCTTGTTTAGCTAATTTCGTAGTGTTAACATAAAAAGTACATCATTTTTCTCAATTTTTTCTTAAAATAAAACCGAGTAAATAGAATTTTTAATTATTTTGAGCCGTAAGCCCAAATGATTTTACCAAATAATACATTTACCTAACTTGTAAATTGACTTTCTGGATTTTGCGGTCATATTTTAGTAAACGTTACGTTCTATGCAATGGTACAAATATTTCATTTTTTGAAAATAGTGCCCTTCCTGCATGGTCTAATTTTGAATCTCCAAAATATTAGTTTTCAATAAATTAACAATTTAGTTTGTGACACTGAGCCCCCCACAGACAGCATAATTCTGGCACTACACTATGAAAGCAAACCGAAGAAAAATTTTACCTATAATCTTTGGCTTGACGGCCAGTATCAATCTCTTGACCTTGACCGCAAGGGCAATTATGTTCCTGCAATCTATAACTCAGACAAAATATTGAAGAAGGTGATTTCTTCCTGTTCACGTACAACAATCATACTATACCAGAGCATTACGAATGGAATCACGCTCTTAAAACTGCAGAATTTATCGGAATCACGTGCCAACTAGTCATAAATGCATGTTTATTGCCAAAATGAATTACGCCAATGGCGTATAAAAACTACTGGCAAATAAAATGCGGTAATAGTAAATAATATTATGTGAAAGTAGGTTGGTTATCTATTTTTGTAGTAATAATCATTTGTTTATAATTTTGTTTTGTTTATTGTTAAAATATGTAAATATTATGCCAGTGGCGTAAAAACACTATTGGAAAATTAAATGGGGTATTATACTAGAACAAAATATTAAAGAAGTTGCGCCTTAAAACTGCAAAAGGTATCATATCAAAATACACTCTTCCAGTGTCGCAGAAATACTATATTGGTAAATTAAATGGGTATTTGTGAATATTACTAGATGAAAGTAGGTTGGTTATCTATTTTTGTAATAATCATACATCTATGTTTATAATTGTATTTTGTTTATTATAAAAATATGTAAATTAAGCTTGGTAGCACTTACTTGAATTCTAAATCGATAAAGTTTCGTAATCCATTGATTCTGCAGAACTATCATTGGAATCGTCTTTATCGTCGGAACTTAAAGTTATGACTAAAGGTTCAACTACCGTTTCGATCATACCATCCAAGCGCTTCATATTATGTTCTTCCTTAATTACATGGGAAATAGCATTCTGCCATTTTGCAGGATTTATACGTTCTATACCGGTTTTTAATAAGCTTTGAACGTCGGCTATTTTAAAAGTTTTATTTTCTCGAGATACAAACCCTTTCACTTGCACCCAAATTAGTTCAATAGGATTGAATTCGCAGTGATAAGGAGGAAGTCTTAATACCGTTATACCACGATCACGAGCCATTGTGTCGAAAACATATTGAATATATTTATGGGGGTGTTCCTTTATTAGGTCCATTAATTTCACTTTAAGCATCTCCTCAGTAAATGTTATTGCTTTATCCCGTAGCCAGGCTTGCATATCCGCTTTTCTACTGGACATTATCGGAATGCGTTCAACTCGTCGACTGTGATAAGAAGCTTTATCTAGTACAATAACTAAATTTTGTTCTACACGCTGTAATACTTTAGTAAACCATTTTTCAAAGAATTCCGCATTCATGTCCTCGTGGTAGTCTCCTGTTTTTTCGATATAAACACAAGAGCGCTATTTTCCAAAAATTCACTGTCACTTGCGATATGGGTAACAATTAGGCGCTGTCCTTTACCTGATGGACCTTTCAAACCTGTAGATAATCCCTCTATAAAAGCTTGGCGATGACTAGTTATACAAGTATCTTGCCATATCTTAGATACCGTGTGTCCAGCATTTACCCACGTTTCATCGAGATAGTATATCTTTTTTTTAGCGGCTCTAAACTCTTTAATATTTCGTAAATAACGCCGTCGCCAGGACACTATATCTGACCTCTCAATTAAAATTGATTTCCTACACCGTTTGACAAAACGAAATTTTGGGCCCCATAAAATTTTTCGTAAAGTTCCACGGCTCGTTAATGTAATTTCTTCGTTTTCTCTTAACTTTGTAAGAAAGACTTTAAGTGTTGAGGCTTTGTTTTCGAAAAAAAAATAATGTACAGTTCTTCGAATGATTTGTTTTTGGTTATCGTCCAATTTCAACAATTTTCGACCACGGGTATGCGTTTTAGGGGCTTTTAAGGAGCCTTTTTTTGTCTTTTCGCCTACAATACGTTCAATTGTTGAAACAGATACTCCAGTTAAAAAAGAACACTGCGGTTTACAGCTTCATTTGCAGGAAGTGTCTGTTTCAACCCATCATACACTTTCCATATAATGTTCTTTTCATCCTTTGATATGGTCTTTCGCCGACGTAATTGAGTTTCACTTGGAACCGCCTCTGATTCCATTACTATTGTAATAATATAATTCTACTATTAAATTGTTTTTATTAAATTTATAAAGACACCAATATTTTACTATTTAATAAACTTTTAAAGTACCTACCTAATATACTACACAATAAATATAACTCCTCGAATATGTACTACCACTACCAAATTGTAAGGCACAAACATGAACACCTACTCGTATATCAGAAAAGAGCACTTTTACAAAAAAGTGTTCATAAAATATAAAATAATTATCGTAAATAGTTAAAGCGATACAAATCTAGCTTCGTCGAAAGTTAGTTTTTAACTGTCTTTGTGCCTGTGCTGACAATATTCAATCTGCAACCCGTCTGTCGTTTATTTACTTGAAACACATTTTAAAACCATTAAACACAGATAACGAAGTCATTGGGGAATAAATATATTCATTTCTTGAAAACTATCAAAAACGTATATTTAACGCATCATCTTTGTTTAAATAAAGATGTTGACAAACAAATTTAATAAAGTTTACTAACAAATACCTAATAAATAATAAATAATTATTTGGTATTTGATACGTGCCTATGCTGACTCTGTCGGAATTTTCATTCATAGACAACAGTGTTGAATATGCATATGACTCGCCTTCTCCAATATTTTGTCCGAGTATAGGTAATCTATTTCTCGAGTCAAAGGTGAGCCTCGAAACACAGAATGACCATGAGGTCTTTTTAATGCGGTGTTATCTATTAAACTTTTTTTCTATGAGACTTGAAATAATAAGAGGAGTTCAGTAAGAGTGGGGATGATAGTCACAATCCAGTAGTGAAGATATTTTGGGAAATAACTATATACACTGTGTCTCAGATTTTATCAATAAAATATATTTTATCTCAAAATACGATATTTTAGTTTAGATATTCTGCGGGAATTTTTTTTCAATATTTCGAATCTCCATGTAGATATCAAAGGTTTATTGGTAACATTTTAATGAGCACAAAACTGCACGACATTTGTCTAATTTAATCAACTTTCTATATGTTATCGTTTAAAAAATAGCAATACTTTCCCTATTAAATAGTAGGGACCATGTATATTTCATAATTACAGGTAAAAACTATTAGATAATGTACTTAACACACGCACACCCATTCTTAACAATATGTTACTATTTTACCTGCATTTGCACCAGTTACTATTACTGTTTTACCAACCAAGCACACTTTACTTTTACACCATTTCGTAATATATTTTAAATAAATTTGTATTATTCCAAATATACAGACACCGACAAAACCGATTATATATATTATACTCATTGTCACAGACTGAGAAAATCTTCTAGAGCGCGATACTTTTAAGGTTGCTTTAACTATGAAATTGGATATACGCTACGGTATTTGCTAAACAGACAAGTAGGCATCGATTTCATAATATAATTTACCTTTACGAACAAAAAAACAATTATTATAATTAGGTATTTACCTAGAATGAAATGATAAGATAAATTTATCGAATTTTACACAATCAGCTGACATCTTATGTATTGTTATATATACAGTGTAAGGTCCGCTTATTCAAAATACGCTTCTACGAGGTTTATGAGATAAATTCATTATAAAATTACAAGATTAATTTTATGTCATTAGAATGCTGAGTACCAATAAATGAACTAACAAAATATTGGCACAGTACACTTGTTTAAAGCGATCGGTATCACGTGTTCTTGGTCTCCTTTCGTATCGAGAAATATTTAACCACAAATTCTCTGTTTTCAAGTGATATTATATATTGTGATAAAATAAGTGAATTACAGTGATTTGATGAACATGGAAACCAACCAACCAACCAACCAACCCTCTCCCGACAAAGGAGAGGAGAGACGCTCCGTTTGATTCAACGAATCCCTCAAAAAATCTCCAAAAAGCGAGCTATGGCCTTGTTAATAAAAATAATGTAAATACCGATACAACTGATAACGTGGAGCAAAAAAGTAGGATCTTTAATCTACAAAAACCCAATGCTTATTCGGCTTAGTCTATGTATTTATTGAACAAGTCAATGACCAAAACATTGGCAAATTATATCCCATGGCCGTAGATATTTTACATCAAAAATTAAACATTTCAAATAATAGAAAAATTGATAATGTGGGTAAAAACAGAATCAGGGTGCAACTGAATAGCATAAAATATGGTAGTAAATTGGTTAAAAACGATGATCTAAAAATAGAAAATTTAAAGGCGTACATTTCAAATAATTTGCTTTTTAGAAAAGGTGTAATCATGTATGTTGATACCATTTTTGATGAAAAATATATATTTACTAATTTCTTATCTCCAGTCACTATAAACGATATATACAGAGTCAAACGAAAAGTAGCGAGTAGTGGTGAAACTATGTACCGGGACAAACTAATATTGTTACTTTTGAAGGCAATATTATCCCTATATATTTATCAATTCAGTGGCTTGCTCAGTCGAACCTTATACACACAAGGTAACACAATGTTACAAATGTCTCAGATATGGTCATGTAGCGAAATAATGCCGAAGTATAATCCTATTATATAAAAACAGGTTCACCCATCCATTGAAGTTGAATACTAATCTGCCCAGTACAGACACTCAGCATCACTAACATCGCTTTCCGAATCAGCTTCAGCTTTTTTTGCTTTATAGATTTTAGGTGGTTTGGATTGCTTTGATTGAGTTTGATCATCTGATGATATCTTCCTTTCTACTGATTTTTTTTATAATCAGCTTAGCATTTTTTCTTCTTCCGCTATATCTAACTCTGTCTTGTAGGGGGAAGATGTTAAGATCGCTATTTAGCCTCTTTTTATTATAATTCTTTTCTTGGTTAGCTTAGCTTGAGGGATTGGTAAGACAGTTTTGGGGCTTGCAAACTCAAAACTGGTGTCGTTCTCTTTTGACGTTCCAGGTTCTGGAGGTATTTGGTCTGTTATTTAAAAGTTCCTCGGGTGTATTTTCTCTTGCAAGATGAATGTTTTCTTGTTGATGTTCAGGTTCTTCTTTAGGAGGTATATGAGTAGGTTTCATTTCTATATCAGTAGTAGCTGATGGCAAGTAATCCGAGTCGAAAAAAACATCAATATTCACAGGATAAACTCCAGTTTTTTTAAATCCATTAATGGCAGTAAGCATTGTAGCTGCCATTAAATTAGCAGCACTAAATAAAGAAGTAATTTGTTGTATTGCTGCCACTTAGCCAGGATTTGTTCAAAGCCATTTCCTAACCTCATCTTCATAATATGCACTGAGAGATTTCATGAACGAATCATCCAGTGCTTGAAGGCGGTGAGTGCAGTGGGGTGAAAAACAAAACATTATCACATCATTATCTCTTGCGTAATTTATCACATCTAGATTTTTTGTATGCGAAGAGTGGCCGTCTAGCAAAAGTAAAACCGGTAAATCTTTGAAACTCCTGGAAAACTCCATAAACTTTTTAAACTAAAAAAAAAAACATCCATATCCCACTGTCATTTAATTCAACACTTCAACCTGAAATCATACTATCTTAATAAGCCTGCTGTAGTCGCTTGCGTGGAAATAGAAGGCATATATGCATAGAAGGCATATATGCACCAGCGGCTGAAACACAAATTTCAGCAGTGATGGTTTAACCCCTCTTAGCTCATGTGAGCGAACCAACCTGCCGTTTTTCTTTGGCAGCTATAATTATCGAAGAACCCTTTTGATTTACCGTAATTCCAGTTTCATCTACATTGTATATTCTCTCTGCTGTAAGTTTATACTTAGTTTAACAAATTAAAGAATTGTGTGACACCTGAAGTTGCCTCGGGTTTTCTTATGGACAAATTCCTAATACTATTTAAAAAGCCCTTAATCCATCTTTTTCCAACGACTTTATCATCTTTGTTAAAGGGGTGTTGATAACCATTTAAATCTGCTAGTTGAAAGGCAAGTTGCTTACATTCTGTTCGTTAGACCAAATAATCGTGCCTCCATTTCCTTGAGACAACGGACAAGTTCTTTTTCTTGTTGGGAACTAAAAACTGGCTTTTTGCTACCCACTCTTTTTGAAACAACGGTATTTGGATTATCTCGTGCCTTCTTCATATGTTCTAAAGTACTCTGAGGAACAGCAAATGAAACGGACGCTTGGTGATAACCCATCTCACGGCTTATTACAGCTTTTACTGCTTGTTGCATGCTTTCTGTTGACCAACTTTGCCTGTTAGTTTTTATTTTGTAATTATAAACCATCTGAAAACAGAACCAATGACTACACAAAATAAATAAACTACGGTAGGGTAAAAAGAAGTACCTTTGGTAGGGCAAAATGGTACCCCCGTTTTATTTTACCCCATTTTGTCCGTTAAGTAGTTTTTTAGGTTAACAATTTTTTTATCAAGATGTCTTTAATTTTTTAATTAACAATTACAAATTAAGATCGAGAAATGTATAACGTTTCAGTCAGTAATAATAAAATTGTACAAAAAGTTCTTGTACTAATACTTACTTTAAAGCAAACGGTAGATATTATAACTTGATAGAACGAAAACAAACATGTGCCCATTGCAACGGATCAACTACAACTGGTGGTTTCTTCCGCACGCCCATGAACAGAGAGGTCAGTGACGAGTAAGCTCTTAAAATGGCTAATAGTACGCACTACTAGTTTAGAAATAAATCTAAATTACCGTTTTGGCCGCCTACCCCGTTTTGCCCGGCTGTCCCCTACATATGAAAATTTGTTTTCCACATAATTTTTGCAGAACAAAAATATACCCTTAAACAAAATGGAACACTAGAAGAGCAAACTGGGCCTCATACGAGTCGGCATCGGAAATCTTTTTTAGTTAAAACTTCCAAAATTTTAAGTCAATCAATACCAAATATAAACACTTTTTACAAGGTATTGTGTCATCTGGTTCTGTGTCTATCCCTATCAATAAACCATTCAACCCAAGAAAGCATTCATCTCCACTCCGGTGGGATGCAGAATGCGACTGCGCAATTAATCAAAGAAAAACCGCATTAAGTGACTAAAATTCCAGTACAATTGAAAATTACATACGGGTTAACAAATAAATAGCTAGAATAAAAAAAATCCTAAAATTAAAAGCAAAAACTTATTGGTATGTAGCAAATTAAATAAAAACACATCGCCCAAACAACTATGACAACAAACAAATAAAATGCAGAGAATATCGCTTACCCCTATAATTTCGATTCACTAGACCCTTTTTTACAAAATATTGGCCCCTGTTCCGCTACCAATATTTTAAAGGATGCTGTAGATGCAAATGGTAGAGATCAAATAAATTGAGACATTATTATCCTAAAGCGAATTATCATTTGCACTAAAAAACATAACACCAGGCATGGATCAAGTGAAGTATGATATGCTCTGGAATTTTTCAGATTCTGCCAAAATGGAAACAATGCATTGTGATGCTAATACTCAAACCAGCAAAAAATCCTAATTTAGCAGAGTCGTTATTGTCCCATATCCCTTCTATCTTGTGTATACAAAACATTATAAAATGCAGATTATAATTTTTTTGCACAATTACGGTTTTAAGAACTTGATGCCATCTCACACGTCGTCACTGACATCCAAATATGCTTTTCACAAAATAATTACCTAAGAGCTGCATTTCTTGAATGCCTACGAATCGGTAGACATTTCAATTTTAAACAACTCAATAACCAATATCTCTATTCTTTCAAGAATAGCTAATCTTCTTTGTAAGCTACTTATCGATAAACAAGTATATGTTAGACAAACTAAAAGCCACTTATCGGTCCCCGACAAGTATCCACTGGATTGTCCCAAGGTTCTGTATTTTCTCCTATTTTGTTCAATATTTTTACTAAAAACATATACGATGATATCAATTGCAATATAATTCAATACGCTGATGATTTCGTATTATACAGTCAGCATCTTGTTAGAAAAATCGCCGAGACACGTCGACTTTTGATTTCTACAATGTACATTTTTGTATGAATAGTTTACCCTAAATTTCATCCCTTACTGGAGAGGAGCAACACTTTCGAAAAATTTAAATGGCATGGGGTGGAGAGTGATAGCTCATTTGAAAGGGGGTTTCATTCTTTATTCAACCGTGCAAAAAATTTTGAAATTTACTTCATTAATTCTCGACTAATTATTGTTACAGAACGAAGAAGATTAACGTAGCGCACTTATCCCTAGAACTAAAATTTAACCCTGCATGATATCGGTTTTGGTTCAGACGTGATGTAAGACTTTCTGCCATTAGATAAGGTCACTGTTAGTGTAGTTGCTTTCCTATTTGTGAAGCAAATTTCAAAATTATTTTTGCACAGCTGAATAGAGAATGAAACCCCCTTTCAAATGAGCTATCACTCACCACCCCATGTTATTTAAATTTTTCGAAAGAGTTGCTCTCCTCCAGTAAGGGATAAA